GTGGGCTTAAAATTTGTGAGATGGAAAGAAATAACTGTATTTTTTCTTTTGCAGTCTCCAGTGTGAATCTTTTGCAGAGGGAGTCAGATGAGTAATTTCAGTCTAAATCGCAAGGCATATATTAAAACATTATATTACTCTTGATATTAGTAGGCCTAATGGGCATGTATAATTTTTCTCCTTAATGTGTATATTTTTGGGGACATTTGATCCCTTCTTTCCCACTCTCCCCTCTTAGATACCCCTTGGAACAGATTAGGGCTATATTAAGAACTTGAATGAATTCTTGTTTGCCTTCCCTAAAAGACCTACAGGTTTTTACGTTATTGTTCTTTCCCTCTCACCCCGTTTCTACTTGCACTGAATGTTGGTTTGTAAAGAACCTTCCTAGCATGGTAGGTTATAATTTTAAGTAAAACAGTCCTGAGCAATGCTTACTTGGTGAGATCCTCAGAGGTTTGGGACAAGAATGGAGTCTGAACTGTTCGAAGAAACTTTCAAAGCAAACAGTGGGAACTCAGACCCAGCACTTTGCAGTTTGAACTTAGATAAACACTGAAACAACAACAAAAAGAAACAGAGAGATGAAAGACTACTGGCTTTTATGTCTGAGTAACAAACCTGCCTAATGGGGTAAAGAATCATTGAGGTAGTAATGGATTCTGAAAAAAAAATTACTATGTCAAATCTGAAGTTTGGTGACCCCTTTATTAAAAAGGTGTTTGATGCCTTTGTTTAAAATTGTAATCACCACAGAATATACATAGCTGTAGTTGTACATTTTTTATTCTGGAAAAAAAAATTTTCACGCTTCCATATAATGGTAACATGGCAATGAAAATCTTTATTTCCAGATGTTCATGCATCTAAGTATTTTTCCAAATCATATTCAAACACCTGCATAGCAGAATTAAATGAGTATAATAGAGGAGAAGAGGCACTTAAATTTAGAGATTGAGGTTGTAATTTAATGGCAAAAATCCATTTGAAAAGGGATCACTAAGCCCTCGCTCTATTAGAGTGCAATTACTGAGAAAGGACACCTTGTGGCAGTTGGTGGTTTAGTAAATGCACATGCCTGTGAAAAGTTTACATAGCTGCTTTTTTGTGATAAACATAATAAGAACCTATGGTTCTCTTCTCTGTAAGGATCAGATTACAGTCTGGTAAAGTCCATTTTATTGTATTTAAAATATAAATTATCAATAGACAACTTGCTACTGTTTTGTATTTAGGTTTCTTTTTCTAAAACTTTCTACCACTGTTTTGCTCTTAAAATAGTTGTAAAATTTAAAGACTTTTTTGCAAGCTCAGGATTAATTCCTGTTTGAGCAAGAATTCACAAGAATGGTTTTGATGTTCAGGTTTTTTTGTAAACATTATATCTTTTTATCCAAACATCCTTTGTTTTTATCTTCTTTTTATATTATCTGTGCTTTTCTCAGTTTGACACAGAAATATCTATGTTCAAGGTAATCAGCATTTAGGTGGTGGCTCTTGTTTAGATTCTTTCAGAGGACTACCTCTGGTAGGATAATAGCAAGTAGTGTTTTCCAAACAAATTTTTGAGTTGAGCATTTGAGATCTTAAGATAGTGAGGTGCACATAGTTCTCTTTAAGGTGCTCCTTGACCCAGTCGTGTGGTATTTCAAACTTATACATGCAGTACTGAATCTTGAGTAGCCCTGGATTCACATCTGGTTTTGTAGATGGGCTTGGGACCACCTATAATATTTAATTTCATTTTTATGTCAGTCTCTATTCTGAATAAAGATAAATTTAAGCAGAAGACCTCAAATGGATGAGATAAGGTTATCCTATGATCAGTTTTAATCATACTTTAACTTAAAAAAATCACTGGCATAATATGTGATGCAGGCACATATTCCCCATGTACTTACAAAGAGAACTCCTATTAACTTCAGTTGCAAAAGAAGTGCTGAAGGGTGAGAATCTTCATATGAATGCAGAAATAGAGCATTCACAAAATCCTGTGAGCCTTGAGGATTTTCACAAACAATGTACAGCAGAAAAAAAAAATTGAGGGGGTTCATATTGTGAATGTGTTCATTTGAGAACTGGATTATATTAGGAATGCTTGCTGGGAGGCTCTAAATCTCAGTCTTACCAGTTAATGAAAAATTATAGTGTTTAAAAAGCCCAACTGCTTTTTAAAGATATGTAAGGCCAGAAAATCAATTTTTAAATCATGGTAAGTAGTGGTAAGTACCATCAGCCTGGCAGTTTGCTGGAACTTCTTTTTTTTTGTACCTACGTTTTGTACCTATTTGTACCTATGTTTACAGCAGTAATCTCAAGTTCACACTTTTAATTCAGAACTAGTTTTCCTCAAATTACATATTTGTAAAACGCAAAAAGAGCACTTCTTCCCCCGTTGTTTGACTGTTGGAAATTAATCCAAACAAACAGATTAGCATTACACTGCCATTGCAGTGAATGTAGTTAATGAATATAACAATAAGCTGAAACACATCTAATCAAATTGAAATAAAATTATTATTACCAAATAATAGTGTGTATCTCAGATTTTTAAATGGAATTACATAAAATATTAATTTAACATAAAACACAGGGGGAATTTTTCTTGAAGCTTGGCCAAAGATGAAGGTTTTCTGTTTTATTATTCACTCTCACAAGGATACCGTCAAAATTCAATCACTCTTTTGTTTTATTGATATCCAGAATTCCATTAGACCTGGTCATGTTGGAGGAAAGATGAAACATGCCAGCTTTTTATCTCTGTGTTCATGCTTCTTGCAAGTAAAAGCATAAAATGGGATTCTGCAAACTTCATTGGATGTCTTGTCTAAGACTGCTGTCAGGGTTCTAGTAGGCCTTTTTACAATTTCAGCTGATAATCTACTCTATGTGATAGTTACAGTTACAAATTATTGTTTGTGTGTTTTGCTATTCTAGGTCAACTGCATGGGTATATACAGAAATTTCTGCTTATCATTTGACATGATTCTCTCCTGACAAATCCAGCATTTCACTGGGAAGAACAGGCATTCAAATCCTAATGGAATCAGGCTGTTAAGGTAAAAATCTCTTCTGCAGCTCTGGTACCTTTTTTCTGATGGCAGCACTGAACCAACCATTACTGATGTACTAGAGAGAGGAACAGATTAGGTAATGCTGCTGCTGAGGGCCAGTGTAGTCAAACAGCAGGAATTTATTATTGCCCTGATGCTACTGAGCACTTGATTTACAGTATAGCACAGTATAGGATCAGTCACTGTCTTCTCTATGGCATCAAAGTTTTATCTAATTGCTTGTGTTGAATTTTTCCTTACATGGTTAACGTAATACAGCTCTATAGTTTGGAATGTGTAGTACCTTATATAGTTGTATTAATATTATCTTATGATAATTCTGTATTTACTCAAGATATTGAGGTATTGAGTTTCACAAAACTTCTTCATAGTAAGTTTCCATGTAAATGCTGGTTTTATATACAGGTACATGAAGTCACAGACCTCATCTTAAGCATAAATCCTGTCTCTTGGTGTCTTAGAGGTTGGGTTTTGTTTGGGTTTTTTTTGCATGTAATTAGGCATTTTAGTTAGTATGACACACTAACACACTAAGTGTAACACTCCGAGACCCAGTGCAGTTGGTAGAGGCAAATGTAAGGATCCAACAGCACAGAAACACCTGAAGAAAAGGGGCTTTAGTGAACATATATATATACATTTATTTGTGTGCATATCTAAATGTTGCAAGACAAGCATCAACTCACTCTGTTGCTTTCACATCATTTTGACAGATACTTGAAATATAGATTTCTTTGTGCATAGCAAGAACACATGTATGTTTAAGAAACAGTATCTGTTTCTTTACCTAAAACAATATGAACAGATAAAAATAGATATTTTTCATCTATCATATAATCTCCTGAATGGGTAATCAAGAACAGTGGGACACAAAGGGTAGTGGATGAAATGCTGAAACTTAAGCCAATGGGAATTTTGTTATTGAATTCAATGGGACCAGTATTTTAACTGATACATTGAAGTTCCAACCCTTACAAAAATGCAATAGGCAGGTCATTAATCATAACCATTTAGGGTTTCACTAGTACAAACCCATACTTTAAATTGTGATATGAAAAGTTATTGTTTTCTTGTACCCATGGGAGGGTATGGTAATAGTACTCATACAAAAATTAAATTAAAGTAGGGCTTCTTATTCATGATGGAAAATATATGCTGATTGCAGCAAGAAGTACTCGGTTTTTTTGCTTTTTTTTAGAGAAATACAGTTATGAAGCACAGCTGAAACCTGAGCCTAAAAACATTCCCTTCATTTCTTCAGATGTCCTAGACCTCTTCTATCAACCACCATTACTTCAAGGTTAAGATGCATCCAACACTAGATATGAAATTAATATGGATTATTTAAACTGAAAGGTTATTTTAAATTACCACTGTTCACAAATATGTGGAATCTTTAAAAGTGTGTGAAAGTGTTCTTTTGCAAAAGAAATATGAAATGCCCTTAGTAATTTGGAAGCATTTCCTGATGGTAGCCAAAATATCAGAAGTGAATATTAAATAACTTCTGAATCACTGAGTTCTTCTTATCTTCCATTACAAACTTTTGAGGCACAAACAAGATGATTTTCAGCTTCAAGAAAGTACTTAAAAATGCTTTATTGGATACCAACAGTAATTAAAGTATTTCTGGAATTGCCAAACTATAAATCTATGAGAATAATAATTAAAAAAATAAGTGTATGGAAAATTAAGAGAGTTTGTATCTCACTAGTTTTTCTAACTGATTTTTTAATATACTATTTTTCAAATGAATAGTCTATAATTGCTTTTACTATTAAACAGATTCTTAGATAGTATGATGATCAGAATGATATAATTATCCAGGATGATGGACTGAACTTTGAAACATAAGGATGGCTTACATAGTATTATTTATCTCCAAACATAAAATAAGACAAAATCTCAAATATGGTTATGCTTTGCAGGCTAAGAAGATATATTCTAGAAAAAATATTTCTCCTATTAAACTGAGAGAGGGTAAGTATACTGGGAATTTAAAAGGAAGTTCTTCTCCACCTAGTTGTAATTATTTACAGCATGGTAAATTTTTCTATAACATTCAAACAAAATAATCTCATTCACTAAAAAAAATTCAAGAAATATGCAAAATGTTTTCGTATATCTTGAAAATGTTAGATCACTTTTGAACTGTTGCCAAAAACATGAGGTGGCCATGTCAGCTTATTCCAAGAAGGCAGACAGAAAAAAAAATAATCCAGTCTAGCTATCGGAAACTCTTTAAGGGGCTATAAAGTAAAATACAAATAAATAGTACAGATGATTACTCAGTCAGGAAAAATACATTTGTCTGTTATTCTGTCTATTCATCTGCAGCCTTTGTCACTCAACCTCTTCACTTAAACACATTTGTAAAAATAGCTTTCAGGCCAAAGCTCTGAAAAAGCTGACACAGACAGAAGAGTGAAACTTGCTGAGTGATTCTATGATTTTAGAAGAGTATTATATAAAATTCCCAGTACCAGTGGAAGGGAAGAAATCTTCATTCTACTCCACTTCCTTAGGGCAGTAATAAGTACTGTAACTATCGAAATAATCCCATCCTTTGTCTTAATTTTGAATTTATCTCTTTGTCCTTAGTTTACCAATGAGCATTTTTGTTACCAAAAAAAAAAAATAAATGGTGGCATAGATATTCTACCATTGTGCCTTCATTCATAAGTGTAGATGCAGGACTCGTACAAAATGCTTTGGCCATGAACCCATAGAGGAAGATGCCTACAGTGAAGCGAATTTCCAAAGGTAGCAGCAGTGTTTCATTATGGCCAGGCAGACAATGAAATGCCAGCATGTCATAGTAATAAGTAAATAAAGTGTATTCAAGTACCCAAAATAACCTGTGGGACAAAAGTTCTTTTTGATATGTGTAAATATGTACACTGCTTCCCTCCAAAAATTTTACTCCTTTAAAAAAATGCATGGTATCATATTGATACCACAGGGAAAATAATCAGGCAGAAAGCATCATTTTAGATTTGGTGCAGGTGAACTCCCTCTTTGTCATGCTGCTCAGGCAGCTTGTATATCCTGCCACTGCATGGCTGCCACTGTAGCCCTGCTCATCCATCAAACTCAAGGAAAAGACCTGTGAGATTTCAAAGTCTGGTGACTTAGGTGCAGACCCAGCTTCAGGGATTTGATGCAGTTCTTAGGTAATGTTACCCTTCTCTGACAGATCAGCACAATTACTTTAAAATATACTTTATTATTTAAACATTTTTATGGTTGGCCATAGAAGTTAAGCAAAGATATTTCACTGTTGTCATTCTGAACCATGGCATTGCCCTCCTAAGAGAATTAGGGTAGTTCACGTAACAGAGCATATAGAGGTTGCTTAAATATTCACGCAGGAATTACATAATAGCTACACCATGAAAAAATTTGCTTTTGTAGTTTTTCACTAATATGTTTCAAAATAGTCTCTTGTGAAATATTTTTTCTGTGCTGCTGCTTCCTTGATGGCTCATTTTTTGATTGTTCTCTTAAACATAAAATAGGCATCTCTGAGACATGCAATTAAAATGAGGATATAAACAGGGATTCATTTAAAGAAGGATTATGAGGGGAATTCTAAATCTAACTATATAAGTAAGGACTACAAATGTAACCCAGTGCATTCATTAATCTGATTGGCAGAAATCACGTAGCAGCCAGCTGAGAAACAACATTGAAATTGTTTTCTTATACTATGCACTTTATCAGATGTATGCTAAAGAATTTCATCTGTATCCAGTGTCACCTTGACCAATTCCACATTCCACTTACTGCAATGGAAAACAAATTCTCTCCTCCCCCCCACTATGTTGGTGCAACTGGCCTGAAGAAAAGGTATTTGAGAAGTGAATGTATAGACTTTGTAGAAAATCTGACCATCTTTCTGTCCTTCATTTACACAGCTACTCTGATAAAAATAGGACAGACTATGAATAATTTTGATGACTAATCCAACTAATACTCTAATAGCTTTGGATGTCTTTCTGTTCTGTCACATTATTTCAGCTCTGTGTATGTCCATGCCGTCTCCTCTGCAATTCTGGAGATACAGGCAGCTTCCCTACCTCCCTACCTCACCTGCTTTATCTTCCCAAAGTCATGCCATTAGTAAAAGGCAAGAATTCACAAGGATACAATGGCTTCTAATGTAGAAATCGACATAGATGACACATAGTGTAACACAAAGATAAAATCTGTATTTGGATTTTGAGAATATGCTTCTATGAGGGAAATGGCTATGCATTTAAGGTAACTCTGGAGGAAACTCAGCTACGTTCTTACTACCATCTAGACACCCATTTCACTGTGCATCTGAATTGCCTGTCTGGCAGTTCAGAGTTGAGGAAAGAGGAGTCATAGTGATTTCAGAGGTGTGTTTGGATAGAACTGGCCACCCATGTCCAACCTGAAAACCAGGGTAGCTACAAAGGTTGATTTCTTCCAAGCAAGTCAGTAGCAGAGAGACAGTCTGAGAAACACAACACTGTCATTTTTTAAGAGATTTCAGAGCCTGATGCTCAGCTGGAAAAGCTTTGAAAAGCAAACTAGCTGTGCTACATGTCTGAAGGAAGCAGAAGCCAATAGCAGTTACCTTTGAAAATATTGACCTAGGAAGGGCAACTTGAATAGCAGAACTCAGAAGCAGAGTACTCGATGAAATATTTTTTAATTCCTATAATGCTAAAAAAACCCCCCAAAACAGCTAAAAGATATAACCAACCCATCAGCTAACAAGATACAGGAATCCAGCTGCTGACATTGTTACCTGTGTTTGACCTGCATTCTGGCAAACAGCTTGGCAAAGCCTTTAGATAGCATTAAATTCAACTAGATAGTTTGAATAACACCATGACAATTAATTAGCTCAGGACTCCTTCCAAACCTTATGAAAGCATGAAACAGTTGCCCAATGTCCAAGATGAAGATTCCCAAAGCAATAAAAGTAATTTAATCCCCATATTCAAAAAATGTGGAATGAGTCTATTCCCAAAGACAATTTTCTTAACAGCCCAGTAGCTGTAAACCACTGTATTCTGTGGATTTGAAATCCAGTTTTCTTCCTCTTAATTGTTACACAGCTGTAGCAACTTGTCACGTAGTCCTCTTCTCTTCTCTTCTCTTCTCTTCTCTTCTCTTCTCTTCTCTTCT